TTTTTGTTTCTAGTAAAGATCTCCTTTCAACACTTCTTATAAGCAGGTCTTGTGGTGGTAAATTCTCTCAGCTTTTGTTTGGAAAAGCATTTATTTGTCCATCATACTAATGGTAAACTTTGCTGGATATGTTATCCTTGGCTCATGGTTCTTATCTTTCAGTATTTTGAATATTTCCTTCCACTCTCCCATGGCTTGAAATATTTCTGCTGGAAAATCTGATTATAACCTAATGGGGTTTCCTTTGCATGTGACAGTCTCTTTTTCCCTGACAAGCTTGAGAATTCTTTGTCATTAATTTTTGACAGTTTGAATAAAATCTGTCTTGGAGAAGGTCTTTTTACATTCATATAATTAGGTGTTCTGTTGCTTCCTCTATTCTAGAGTACACTTCTTGCCCTAGGCTTGGGAAATTCTCATCAATTATTTCTTTGAGTAGGCTTTCTGCTCCCCTTTTCATCTCTTCTCCTTCTGGTATACCCATTATGCTTATGTTGCTCTTTGTAATGGAGTCAGATAGTTCTCATAGTGTTCTTTCATTAAAAAAAAAAATTCTTAGTTATCTTCTTCCTCTTCGGTCATTTTTAGGTTTCTGTCTTAGACTTTAATAATTCTCTCTTCCATCTGGTCAGCTGTTTCCCATACTCTCTAATGCATTCCTCATCTCATTTACTGAGTTCTTCAGCTCCAGAATTTGTTTGGTTCTTTTTTATAGTTTCAATCTCTTTAGTAAAGTACTTCTTTTGTTCATTAATTTTCTTCCTGAGCTTATTGAACTGCCTTTCTGAGTTCTCTTCTATCTCATTAAGCTTTTCCATAATTGTATTATTAAATTCTCTGTTATTGAAGTCTTAGTCTTCCATGACTTTGAGTTTCACTTCTGGAGACTTTTCAATTTTCTTTCTGTGGTCCCATGTTACCTTGGTTGTTCATGGTATTTGGTGGCTTGTTTTTTTTGCCTGTACATTTGAGGTAATGAGCTCTTTTCTTGTCTATACATTGTTTTGCTGTCAACAATTCAGGTTCATAGACAGAGTATATCTTGTTTCTTGTTTTCCAGTAGATTGTGTTACACCAGACATTTTTGTTTTCTTTTACCTGCACTATTTGCACTTCTGGGAATACAGTGGAGTGGCACCACTTCAGCTAAGAAAAATGCTGTGTACCCACTGGGATGGTGGGTGTCCCCTCTGTGACCGGCTTGCCTCAGTTACAGGGCACTGCTGTGGTGAGGGCATGTGGCTAGTGGCACAGAACTGGTTTTGCAAGCTCCCAGCACTACCTCCTTTTTACTAATGGTCCCAGGCCATGCTGTTTTTGGATGTGTCTACACTACTTCTGCTGGGCTCTTTCAGGATGGGTGGGGCAGGGAGGCAAGTTCATGATTTTGTGGCTCCACTGTACAGTTTAAAGCATCTCAGTTTTCTCTCTCTGGTTCTGTCAGTTTGGGTGGGACAAAGGAGGCACATTTGTGATCTCGTGGCTCCACTCCCCTGTACTGCTGGGGGCTTGTCAGCTTCTTTACCAGGCTCTACTGGGATGCGTGGGTCTAGGAAGGCAAGTTTCAATCTGCTGTGCCACTCCCTGTCTAGTAATGGCTGTTGACAGTGCTGTGTTGTTTCAAGCTTCCCAATCACCTCTACCAGGGTCTGCTACAATGAGGAGGAGGGAGGAAGATGCCTTTTCTTGGAGACTACTGCTCCTGCCCTTCTTTTTTTTAAAATTTTTTTTATTGTTAGTTTCAGGTGTACAGTACAATGCAATAGTTATCCTTTTCACCCTCACAAAATAACAACCCCCCTCTCTCCCTCTATTGCCCTCCCCCCCAATATAATGCTTATCTATTACAATTCCATAGACTCCATTCCCACTCTCTACTCCATGTCCCATGACTATATGTATATATCATTATAGTTGACATACAATATTATTCAACGTCAGCTTCAGAAATACAGTGCAGTGGTCAGGCCTCTACACCGTCTATGAAGTGGTCTCCCTAACAAGACATGAGTCCATCTGGCCCCGTAAGAAATATTTACAACATTATTGATTATATTCCCCAGACTGTCTTTTTCCTTGCATGAGGTTGTATTGTGATTTCCAATTTGTATTGTCTCATCCCTTCCCCTTCTCCTTCATCCCCACCCCTCCCAAATAACAACCCTCAGTTCTTCCTCTGTGTCTCTGAGACTATCTCTATCCACTTCTCCCATCCATTCAGTTCCTTAGAATTCATGTATAAGTGAGATCATATGATATCTTTCTCTGACTGACTTATTTCACTTAGCATAATGTTCTCTAGTTCCATCCATATTGTTGCAAATGGTACTATTTCTTTCTTCTTTATAGCTGAGTAATACTCCATTGTATAAATGTACCAAAGTTTCTTAATCCAGTCATCTACCGATGGGCATTTTGGTTGTTTCCAAGTCTTAGCTATTGTGAATAACGCCGCAATGAACATAG